ACTTGAGCCATAGGTGCTGAGCCTATTTATATATTTTTAAAAATATATAAAAGCATATGAATAAATAAGATTAAAAAGAAATCCAGAAAGAAGTTACTGTAACTATTTCTGAAGAGAAAATATGAACATAAGTGATCAAATCCTGTGAGAAAAATCAAGAGAATAATAATTTAGATTTGGGAACTGGAGATAACCAGATGTACTCTTTACTCTTTCAAATCTGTTCTCAATCTCTCTCTCTCTCTCTCTTTCTCTCACGCAAACACACACACACAACACAGAGGGTAACAAAAAGTAATCACATTTTAAAAAGTATACACATTTTAAGAAAGGAAAAAGCTCTATTGAAATTGTAATATTCAAGAGAATTTGACTTCTGCAATTACAGAAGTTGCCTTCTGTTATCAAATATATATTGAGTATTATAATTATAACACAGTGTATCCTTTTCTTAAAATGTGTATACATTTTGGCACCCTCTGTGTGTGTGTGTGTAACTGAATATTGTTTTCTTTCTTTTGCATAAGGATTTATGTACTTTTGTTTTGCTTCTAACCAATAGTTCCCATTTATTTATCTGTATGTCATTATTTTATCAAAATTACATCAGAGAAAAAAAAAATTACATCAGAGAAACAACTCTTCCCATTTTTCTTCTACTGATTACAAGATAAAATTATCTCAAAACAGATATTTTTATGTTTCACATTTATAGTTTGATCAAATTATTATTTTAGGATCATGTATAAATATAAAAATGTTTACCAATATTATTTACTTGCAGATAATTTTTTTTTAAAGATAGAATCTCACTTTATTGCCCTCAGTAGAGTGCTGTGGTGTCACAGCTCACAGCAACCTCCAATTCCTGGGCTTAAGTGATTCTCTTGCCTCAACCTCCTGAGCAGAGGAGGCCTGCCAGAATGCTCAGTTATTTTTTTGTTATTGCATTTTGGCTGGGGCTGGGGTTGAACCCACCACCCTCTGTATATGTGGCTGGCACCCTACCCACTGAGCCGCAGGCGCCACCCTTGTGGATAATTTTTTAAAGATAGGATCAGTGAGAATAATATTTGTGAGTATCCAATGATTTATATTCACCATTTATTTCAATAACAACTTTAATGTTGGCATAATCATTACTTTTTACTTCTGAGGAAATTGATGCCAAATAAATTGAATTTGACCAGCTTCACCAATCTCTGAGAACAGCAGAGGGTGTTCCTACCTGACTCCTAAGTCACAGCACCAGCTCCTTGTTAATTATACAAAGCAAACAATTTGTAAGCTGAGCCTAGGTGTGTATCCATTATCTACCATTGGACTAAACATTAATATACACCAATGAATACAAAAGAATGTAATATAAAGAGAATGGTTTCACTGGGGATCATTAGACAGAAGCACAATAACTGACATTTACTGTCAGTACTGTCCATTACTGCTTAATGGATTCCAGGTTCTGATTACGTGTGTTCTACTTTGCTTTCTACATTCACAACAACCCTATCAGGGAGTACTAACGGTTCTAACTTCCACATTAGAGAGAAAGGTGCTGATATGTAAAAGATAAACAGACTTATCCAAGATCGCACTTGACTAAAAGTGGCAAAACCCTCCTTGGTCCCTAGATTCTGATGACATATCCAGCCCCTCATCTAACCCTATACCAGCACCAGCAGAAGTGAAAAGAAGGGGGAATGTAAGAAACATATAATGGCACAGTAGTTTTCCATCAATGGTGGTAGTGTTCATTCACTGTTGAGATGAAAAAATGCTGAGAAGTGGGCTAGAAAAATATGCTAACAACGAGGGGAGACCTGTGTGTGGCATCGAACAGCCGTATGGAGGCTCTAGTTGAAGTCCTGGGCCGTGTTGGATAGCTGTACAATATGCTCCTCTTTCTGCATACACCCAGTCCCAGTGAGTTAGATAATCCAGGATCCTGAGCATAAAAGTGAAAAGACTGAGATTGATGTCGTAAGGGCAGTAAAGCTCCTGAATGCTCTCCCCGGGGAAGGCGGGTGATCAGACTGGTTCTTTAGACAGATTGAGTTTGCCTTTGTGTTGTGATAGGGTTAGGGTTTGAAGATTTTGAGGGACATCTCATCGAAAAGGAAGCTGAGAGCCACTACCAGCCTCGAGGCTGAGTCAGACAGGGGCCGGGGTTAGCGGTTAACCAAGGAAACAGGAAGGCAGAAACAGACACAAGGATCATAATACAGGAATTATGAAAATTAGATTAATTGGTAGGCATATAATAATTAGGAATCAAGGATGAAGGCAACTAGAGAATAATTGGGAGGGTGACGAATTAGAGGTACTGATTCTCGCCACGTGAGAACCAATTCCTTGGACACGTTCTGAGTTGTTGCCTATCACTTTTATTTAGTTACTGAAATGTCTAATTCATCAATTATTTCTCAAAGACTCAGAATATTCCAGTCACTATGCTCAAGGTGACATGTGTGTCTATGTATAAATATATGTGTGCATATGTGTATGTGTGTGTGTATACTTTACCCTTAACAAAACAACTTATAATTTAATAACTGGACACATAAATTCATGATATCAAAATAAGCTTAGAAAAATACTGGAGCTGCCAGTCATATTCATGTTCTTGCTTTTAGTAAAACAACAGAAAGAAGACACCAAAAAAAAATAATAATGTAAGTTAAAAACTAGAGTGTTGGGGTGGCTCCTGTGGCTCAAAGGAGTAGGGCTCCAACCCCATATGCCAGAGGTGGCAGGTTCAAACCCAGCCCTGGCCAAAAACTGCAAAAACTAGAGTGTAGGTAGATCTGAAAATAGACTATCTGGCAGAAAAGGGCAGTCATTGGCCCAGGTATTGATGGTTGAATGTTGTGCTAAGAAAAATAAGGTCTCACTTCACTGTAGGTGCATCATGTCTGGTCTGCTGCTGAATGAATGGTAGGAATCTGACCAGTCAGAGTAAGAACAAAGAATCATGTACATGCCGTGTACTCAGGGGTGGGCGCCCAGGAGGACAGTATCTATCTTCATCCCCAAGGACACACCCTCATACTTGACACCTGTCCACAGACTGCAGACAATAGTAATTGCTGTAATGTCCAGCTTAGACCAGTGGATGTTCGGAAATAACTCAGTGCGACTGAAAAGCTGGCAGTCTCAATTAGGACATCCGTGTATATTTGGTTTTCTCTTCCATTTTGGATCAAGCTCACAAATAAAATTCTTGATCAAAGTTGCACAGAAAATTCAGATTTATTTAGAAATGTATAAGAAACATGAAAATTACTAGAATGTTCATTCATTATGACAGTTTAAACATATTTAAATATATTAACACTTGTATTTCCAGATAATATTTTCATAGTACTATGTTTTTCAGAGGCATCAGTATTCTACACGTTTGTGAACCTGAGAGCCATAATATAATGTACTTTGGAGACTCGCCACATAATTTACAGTTACTAATTAGAGCTGAAATGTACACTGTGGTCTATCTTTACAGGATTCACATGCAAAGGGCATAAAGCTGTCCTGGCTGTTGCCCAGTACCATTCATGAGACATCATTTCCTGTAATACATGGTGCCCTTTTTTGGCTCCACCAAATAAGGCACATTTGACTCTTGACTGACATTCGAGATTTTTATCTGAATGCTGGATCAAGAAGAGAACTTTACATTTGCTTCATTTTAGTCAGAATTCTATATACATATCAATAAAGTTCCTGTGCAATTTACTTTGTTAAACTATATAAAATTGCACATGCATTTTATGTCCACCGTGTCTGTGTGTGTGTTCTTTCTGAAAATATTTGTATTTCTTTCCTTTTTTAAGTTGATTTCAAATGTGAGATGGGATAGAGAGTAAGATTGATAGAAATTCCTTTCATGTTGTCTGTGCCTCTAAACTTAAGGTTTCTCAAGTACAGTTTCATTTACTTTTCTCATTAAGATGTTTTTCTTTCTTATTCGTTAATTCTGCTTATTCTGCCTTTGAGATAATTCTTTCTAATGATGTCGTGCGTTATTGAAAACAATAAATTCCACCTAGGATACCTTCATGAACTTCAAATAATTAAAATAACAGGTCGATGTAATAACACGTACAGGAACAATTTTATAGTTGTTTTTGAAATAATTTAGTAAAACTTTAACATCTCAACTGATGACGTTTTACTTACTTTGTATAATGTGTAAATGAAATTGGATTCATTAGCAATTTTATTTAGTTCAGAATACTAGCATTTTCTCTACTTCACATTTGCCCAAAAGGAAGTCTTACAATTCAGTTGAACAAAAAGAAAATGAATTTTACATTTCCACAAGACATTATCATTTGTGGCAATGATTGAATAATAGATTCATTTATTCTGATGTTTTAAATACCCACCTTTATCTAGCTCTCTCTCTCCCTCTTTCTTTTTCTCTGTCCTCTCTTTGACACACATACTCCCCCCCACACACACAAACTAATTTTCTTTCACACCAAATACAATGTTTATAGTGTTTAGAAAACACAGAGCTAATTTATCACCTTTATTAAAAAATGTGATGTTTTACTGTTATGTGGTGAGATAATAATAATTGTCTAGTGTAGGCTCGCTTGCAATTTGAAGAGCTCATTCAGGTGTTTACCAAGCACTGAAATGCAAATATACTGAGTGTTCTAAGCAGCAATTCTCCTTCATCCCTCATTCTCATAAAATCCTAAGTTTTTTTTTTTTTTTGCCTTTTATTAAGCCATATACACAGAGATCATGAATACATTTGTGCATTTGTGGGGTACAATGCGTCGATTTTTTTATAGAATTTGGAATGGTTACATCAAACTAATTAATATAGCTTTCGCCTCATTTACTTGATAATTGTGTTAAGACATTTATGTTCTATCCGTGGTAGATCCAACTTGAACCCTTACAGTGGCTCCCTAGGTGTGGTCCCGCCGTCTTAGTAATGGCTGTGTCATTATTGTGGTTACGTTTCCTCTGTGTTTTTCTCTTCATAGATGTGCCGTCCAGTCCCTACGGAGTGAAGATTATAGAGCTGTCACAGACCACAGCCAAGGTTTCCTTCAACAAACCAGACTCCCATGGAGGGGTGCCTATTCATCACTATCAAGTGGACATCAAGGAAGTGGCGTCTGAAATCTGGAAAATCGTGCGCTCCCACGGAGTCCAAAGTGAGTCAGTAATTCACAAGTGTTGACAGATTCAGGCTGCCCTTCAATATACCTGTGATTAGTTTTTGATTTCCCTTCAATGTTTTTTTCTTTCAATAAAGTAATGCTGGGAAGACATTATCTCTGCCCCTATTCTTCTTTAGAATAATCTTTTTTTTTTTTTTTTTTGCCAGGGCTGGGTTTGAATGGAAAGGTTTTCATCTTCAGATGGAGATACTTAAGAGAGTCAGCAAAGTTCTATTGTATAGAAGGTCATTGTTTACAATTTTGTTGCTGGAAAGAGAACTCTTGTTGTGTGAGGCATGGAGGTTGGATGTGCTTAAATGTGTACTTATGTTTAATTTATTAATATTTCTTTATAAGTAGGTACAAAAGTCGTAATATAAAATATCAGCATCTTCTACGTATATGTATTCATGAAGCCATCTCTGAAAATTCTATAGAACTTTATATTTGATGTTTATATTTATATGTAGGTTTCTAGATATATTTCTATAATATGGCAAATAATTCACAAGACTACTTTCTAATCATGTAACATTTCATCATTTTATGAAAATGTGGTTTCTTTTCTCATTTTGAGGAAAGAAAAATAAATAGAAAATGATAAGAAACTGCCATTTTTGGATTCTGTTGGTTAGGACATAGAATTACTTTGAGGGGTCACAAAAACCCGTATAAAATATTGAGGAAACCATGTTCATAGTGGACATCCTATAAGGATACTTTCCTGACCCTAATACATACCTGGTTGCAGCTCAGGAAAAAACAAGAGCCCTGCTGAGCAGAAAAGAGAAAACCAAACCCAGGGATCTTGAAGAGAGCGGAAATTAAATTATTCTCGTCTCGTCACTGATGACACCAGCCTTCTCAGTTTCACTGAGAGCAGCTACAGGCTTTTGATAGAAACGTCAGCAGTATTCATTAATGAGTGATCAGTTATTTAACACAAGCTTCACGTAATCTCCTCAAAGAGATAATTTATTATTATTTCTTCTCATGTGAACTGTCTGGATAATATTCTTTGCGCATGTGCTATGTGGTTCAAGAAAAATTAACAAAGACATTTCCCAGAAAAGAGTTAAATGAGTCAGACCCAAAACTGTAGTAAACAGGGATCAAGAAATGATATTTTGGATTTTTTTTTATTAAGAGGAAAAAAAGAAAGGAGGGTGGTAGATGAAAGACAGAAAGACAAAATGAATTATTCCTCACACTGCAGAACGCTCAAAGTGGGTGCCCAACAGCAATGAAGAAAAATAATATTAAGCCTGGATGGTACAGAAAAGGACCACGGCACGAGGGTACAGCCCCATCCCACCCGTATCACAGTGGGACGGGGTTGGTAAACTCACTCTACATTTCTTCCAGATTTGCAACAATATGGAGAATTTATCATGGCCTAGATCAAGCCACGTTGATTACATACAAAACCTGACACTGCAGCCCACGTTACCCACCTGCTCAAAGCAGATTCCTATGCTTAGGACTGAAATGAAATAACAAACACATTTCTTAATTTAGAATGAGAAATCATTGTCCAGAAATTAGAATGTTCAAAGTCAATATGATAAATATCTTCTTTCTCCTTTACTATACAGGGTGGCCATAAAGTTCACCACCCTGTACCATGTAGGGAACAAAATATGAGTCAGAAACGTGTTTGTGAATCCAGAATTATGAGAAAGGGAAGTTTCATAAATAAGACGTTTGAGGGCTTCACACTCCACCTTAAATCTTGCCAAAAGACAAAAATTGCTCAATGTCCTGGGACTGGAGATGTCTCCCTTTTATTGCAGAGAAGGTGAGCATCAATACTTCGTTTCCATACAGACCTCTGCTCTGATCCATCTGTAAATGAATACCTTAAATCAGGTTACAGTCATGTAATCAAAACATTGCATGATCTCAGTTCAGTGTAGTACAAACTAGAATTGTTTTAAAAAATCCAATTCTTTCAAATAATTCTTTTTTAATCTCCCTTTTTCCTATTTCATTATGTCTTTAGCAGATAATTTATCAAGTCCAGTTGAGCTTTGCACGATTTAAAAGTTTTAATATGTAATTTTGCACTCACATTTTTTCAGATGCTCATGACAGCTAGACCTAGCCTTGGGAGATTAGAGATGGCTTGAACTTCTTGGGAAGGGGCAAAGAATCAATGCCTCTGAACTTTCTGGTTCTTTATGTTTCTTTGGACTCTCTCTGCCACATGCTGTCTGTGGGACAAGCATCTGAATACCTGCCATTGGGGTTGTGCTTTGCGGGGCAAAGTCTCTATAAACCTTTTCCGGATATAGAGTTTTCTCCAATGAGATTCTACTTTGTCTCACCTCTGCAGACACCTCTTCATCCCTGTCTTCAAGGACATCTCATTTTACAAGTCACTGCAGCCCCTACCTTTATGAGACATTCGTTTGACCCAGAGAAAAGTTCCACATTTTCCTAAGCTACAATGTAAGAACCTCGATTGCTTCAGAGTTGATGTTTTTCTCCAATTTTCTTTTTCCTTACTTCAAAGAGGTACAGAAAATAGATGAATCTTCTGTAAAAACAGAAGTCCTACTGAGGAACCAAATGGAACACTCTTCTTTACATCTGTTATGCAAAAAAATCTAATGGAATTTATTAATCTTTTTTAATTTTCTTTACTTACCAAGAAGAGAAGAGATATCATAGTACATACAGAATTCTGGGTAGAACACTCATAAGTCCAATGACAGGATTTTTTTCTCCTTCTAGGTTTTTTTTTTTTTTTTTGGCCAGGGCTGGGTTTTGAACCCGCCACCTCCGGCATATGGGGCTGATGCCCTACTCCTTTGAGCCACAGGCACCGCCCCTCCTTCTAGTTTTGAAGAAATGGTTAGGAGATGACAGTGTGCATGGGGATTAGAGTCTCGTGGCTGAGACTGTAGACCTAGTTTAGCTTCTTCTTATTCAGCTCTGCAGGAGTTTCTATCCTCATCTCAACCATTTAGTATGCAATGTCTCTTTCTTCTCTTTATGAATTGTACCAGTTGAAAATTCCAGCGCTGCAGAAACATGCCCACTCAATTTTCCCTACAGGTTCCTATGGCTGGATTGGTGCTTTTCTTTCTATTTGAGTTTGGACACCTTTATATGTGATTTACTGAAAGCTTTAATATATCAACTATAACCAACTATAGTTGATAGGTTATATATGTATAATATATATAATGTTTTTAAGGATTATACATATATATGATATATGTATAATTATAAATAATACTTTTAAAGTGTAGGCCCCATATTTAGGTATCAGGCATAAATGAGAATATGTAACTAAAAAGAGAACATAAATAACAATGGGAAGCCAGGAAGAGAAGCTGGGAACACCACTGAGACCTCTTCTAACCTGCGAAGATATGCGCTTCTGGCATTTACTATCCTTCCCCAGTTTTGTAAAAATAAAGTGAAAATTTTCATAAAAGTAAATTCTTCATGCTTATAGACATGTGAAATATGCTGGAAATAATCAAAATATATTGTTTACTATATATTGACAGCAAGGATTTGATTGCCAGAGCATATAACATAGCTTTGATCTAAACTTTCTACCTTAATCACACATTTTAATTGAGTTGCTATGATTTACATGTAACCTCCAACCTGTTTTTCCCATCAGATAGGTTTAGGATCATTGAACACCGTCCGGAATTATTCTTTCGCCCTAATCACCTGTAACATGCTTTTGCAATCACTCCCTGGGCGTGCTGTACACTAAAATTCCCTTGTTCCTCCGGAATCAATGACTTGCAAGTGACATATTTCTTACATTATATTGTACTGTATATATTTTAACATGTAATACATTTTATATTTAATTTCTTTTGTTATAACTCTCTGATCTACCTTTTAGTTTATAAGCTCTAGTGTCTTTTTTATTTTAGTTTTTCTTCTTTTTATTAGATCATACCTGTTCACATTACTTCATTTATGAGGTACAATATGCTGATTTTATATACAATTTGTAATGCTTACATCAAATTGGTTAACATGGCCTTCCCCTCACTTATTTAATTCTTGTGTTAAGACATTTATAGTCCACTCTTAATATATTTGACATGTACCCTTGCAATATGCACAATAGGTGATGTTCCAAATACCTTTCCACCTGGCCTCCCTCCTCCTCTCCCCTCGCTCTCCTTTTCTCTCCTTCTTTTGGGTTAGAATTGTGTTTTGTCATTCGTATGAAAGTGTGGGTGATTATATATTGGTTTCATAATAGTACTGAGTACATTGGATACTTGTTTTTCCCATTCTTGAGATACTTTACTATGAAGAATATAACCCAGCTCCATCCAGGTAAACATAAAAGAGGCAAAGTCTCCATCTTTTTTTAATGGCTGCATAATATTCAATGGTATAAATATACCACAATCTGTTAATCCAGTCATGGGTCAGTGGGCACTTGAGCTGCTTCCATGACTTTGCAATTATGAATTGGGATGCAATAAACATTCTTTTGCAAATGTCTTTGTTGTAAAATTATTTTTGGTCATCTGGACATATGCCTTGTAGTGGAGTTGCAGGATCAAATGGTTCTTAAATCTTTTTTCCAGAAGGGTCACATTCCCACCAGCAGTGCAGAAGTGTTCCCTTTTCTCCACATCCACAGCAACATCTGTAGTTTGGGGATTTTTGTTATGTGGGCTACTCTTAGTGGACTTAGATGATATCTCAAAGTCATTTTGATTTTCATTTCTCTGATGATTGAAGATGATGAGCATTTTTTCATGTGTTTGTAGGCCATGTGCCTGTCTTCTTGAGAGAAACTTCTGTTCATGTCTCTTGCCCACAATGAAACGGGATTACTTGTTCTTTTCTAACTAATTAGTATGAATTCTCTGTGAATTCTAGTTATCAAACCTTTGTCAGAAACATAACCTGCAAATATCTTCTCCCGTTCTGAGTGCTGTCTGCGTGCTTTATTTACTGTGTTTTTAGTGAAAGTGCAGAAGCTTTTTTGTTTGATCAGC